AGGACCAGGATGAGGACGACGCGGACGAGGAGTCATGGAACCATCTAGAGGTATTCTTGCGGCTGATGCTGCTGCTGGCGCTCTCTGGCAGGTTTGGGGGCCTTTTTGGAACACTCCTGGTAACCCTGGAAGGCCTTGGATGGGGGAGAACTCACCCCCCCCTCTCAGGAGCCGGCAAACCGCTTCTTGGGGCTCTTGGAACGCTCTTGGAACGGTTTCGGGCCCGTTTGGAACATCTTGGGAGCCATCTTGAACCAGCTTGGGCTATCTGAGCCATCTTAGAGGTCATCTTGGGCTCCCTGAGACCGCTCGGGGGCCTCTTGGGGGCCTTTCGGGTGCCTCTTAGGGGCCTTCTCGGTGCCCTCTTGGAGCGCACTCGGGGCGCTCTTTGGGCTCTCTTGGCAGCCCTGGAGCGCCTCTTGGGGCTATATTCGAGGCCATTGATCACAGGCGGGATTCGCCCGATCGAGGCCCCCTCTTCGGGGGCTACGGCCCTCGTGAGGGGTGTCAAAAATTTGCCCTCCCGGGGGCCGATCTTGGACGCCCCGACCGATCGCGGCCCCTCCCGTCCAGGCACGCGGTTGGGGCATGGGGGAGGCCCCCCCCGGAAGGGGAAGGGGGTTTTGGAAAAGGAAAACAAATCATCGTTAGACCGCCTGTGCCCAGAGGGCTGGTGGGATTGCTCCTGGGACTCTTGTCGGAGCTCGCGTTTGGGAGTGGCCGGAGATCTAAGTCATTGAAATACGCCTCCCTTCCTGGATGTGTAGACGGCCAGGAATGCGATTTTCCAGTTTCAGTTGTTGGGTTTGATGTTCCACCCTGGATTGTCGTGGACTTTCTCGTGCATCTCGGGTTTGCGCTCGATATAGAGAAAGGCGTTAGTCTTCAGGGACCCATCGGGGACAAAACGCATTTACTTGAGAGGTCTCGGCACGGGCGTCTTCCGATAGATGTCGGCCCAGGTGCTGAATGGCAGGAGGTTGTATTCGCGGATCTGCGATGGTCAGTTCTTCATTAAATGCTCGGGCTCAAGAGGGCGAACCTTTGCGAGCAGCCCTCGCGCAGCATGAGCGACATCTCCTGCGTTCCATCGCGGGTGCCATCATCGCGCGGCAAGCGAAGCTTTGCTGGTTGGTCTCGGCAGCGCGAAGCCTCCGAGACACCGGCGCCCGACGAGCGCGAGGCGCGGCTGTTGCGGAGCACCGGGCGCGATCGCCGCGGGCTGCAGCTGCGCGGGGGGCAAGGGCCATCTGCGTCAAAGGCGAGCCACCAGTCGGAGAACCCCACCTGGTCAAGCCCTGCGCCAAGAAGGAAGAGCACGAGAAGGACGCGAAGGATGCGAAGCAGCAGTCACGCGCCAAGCGCGAGTGCTGCGGAGCGCCGACGAGCGTCGGGGGCAAGAGCCACCTGCGCTTCAGGACTTGCGCTCAGAGGCCGAGTTCCGGACAGCCGTTTACGGGGCCCCCCAGGGGGAAGAAGGAGTCCCCGACGAGTCCGAGACCGCCACCGTTGAGACATCGGGCGGCAAGACATGGCAAAAACTCTTCTCGGCGTGCTCAAACGCGCGGGAGCTCAAGCGCCCATCTTGAAGGTGGCGTCCGAGTTCAGTGCGAGGCGTGCGAGGGGAATAAGAACAGGCCCATGGAGTCCATCGCGGCACCGCGTAGCCCGGCGGCGCCCGGCAGGGCCATCGAGACGGGCGGACTACCAGCAAGGCCCGCGCGACAAGCAGACTTTTGCAAGCGCCTGCGCCGCGTGTGCTGGTGCGAGGCGGGGATGTGGCAGTCTCGATCTCAAAGACACGCGCATGCGTTATGGGGGGGAGTCTCGCAATGCACACTTCTGATTATTATTATCCGTGTGAGTTGTAGTGTTGTTAGTCATATTATTATTGCTGGTTGATATTCTTGTTATCAGCCGTATATGTAGTAGTAGTAGTAGTAGTAGTAGTAGTAGTAGTAGTAGTAGTAGTAGTAGTAGTAGTAGTAGTAGTAGTAGTAGTAGTAGTAGTAGTAGTGGTAGTAGTAGTAGTAGTAGTAAGCAGTAAGCAGTAAGCAGTAATCAGTGAGCAGTAAGCAGTAAGTCGTAGGTCGTAAGTCGTAAATCGTAAGTAGTAAGTAGTAAGTAGTAAGTAGTACGTGGTAAGTAGTTATTATTGCTATCAGTAGTAGTAATAATACTAGTAGTAGTAGTAGTAGTAGTAGTAGTAGTAGTAGTAGTAGTAGTAGCAGTAGTAGCAGTAGTAGTAGTAGTAGTAGTAGTAGTAGTAGTAGTAGTAGTGGTAGTAGTAGTAGTAGTAGTAGTAGTGGTAGTAGTAGTAGTAGTGTAGTAGTAGTAGTAGTAGTAGTAGTAGTAGTAGTAGTAGTAGTAGTAGTAGTAGTAGTAGTAGTAGTAGTAGTAGTAGTAGTAGTAGTAGTAGTAGTAGTAGTAGTAGTCGTAGTAGTAGTAGTAGTAGTAGTAGTAGTAGTAGTAGTAGTAGTAGTAGTAGTAGTAGTAGTAGTAGTAGTAGTAGTAGTAGTAGTAGAGGCGTCGTCCGAGCTCCCTGCGCCGCTGCCTGGTTTCATGTGACTTCCGCCTCCCTCGCGCAGTGAATGACGGACCAATCGCTGTAGATGTTCGCTAGGGGGCACAGGGCGAGTCGACAGCCGACTTCGCGAATAGTTGGAATAGATTCTGCCAGCTTGGAAGGGACGCGCGCGCTCTCCCATGCCCCGCCCCCCCTCCCCCCCTCGGGGGTCCCTTGCCCCTTATCCCCTTGATGTCCCTTTTCCTTTCCCCCCCCCCAGCCCCGCCCCGTCCCCGTCCTGGTCCACCTCCTGCCCCCCTCCCCCTCCTCTCCCCCCCCCCTCCCCCGCCTCTGTCACTCTGCTTCCTTCAGCTTGACACTTCCATACCTGTCGCTCCTGTGTCCCTGTCAATTCAGTAAATCAGTCATGAGCACTGCTTTGCAAACCATGCTGATACTTGCACGGTGGAGTGATAACCTTTTTCCGAAGCAACGTCGTTTCCATTGCACTGTCTCCAAAACGAAAAGCAAAGGATGGATGCGAGCAGCCATACTGCGACAGAAAAGGCAGCCCTGGGGAAAGAGCTCGAATCATGGAACACGGTAAGGATGAACAGAGCCTGGGGCGCGGGGGAACAGGGATGAAGCGGGGGCAAGTCTGGGGATTGAAGGCGTTTGGAAGCGGATGTGGGGGGAGGACGTTAGGGGATGCGGGGTAGAGGATTCTGCGCCCGAGGGTTCTGGGATTCGACATTGGCCCTGCGCGCACCCGCAAAGTGGCACGGGCAGCCACCAGCGACTTCGACGACGACGGCGACGACACAGCAATACGACCGACGAGACCCCACAGAGTGTCATGCGGAGTGGGGCTGGGGGAGGGGCCCGTGCATTTGTTTTTTTGGGCTTTCACTGGGCGGCCCCGAAGGGTCCCGGCCCCTTCCCGTGGGGTAGTTTTTCGCCCCAGATCCGCTTTGATTCGGAGACGGAAAAGAGGGGGGTGATGACTAGGAGGGGGTGGATATCATGGCGGGGGCCATGATGTTCCCCCAGATTTCATGGCGTTTCTTCTTATTTCATTACGTCCCTGGCCCCCCCGCTAGGCCGCGCACGTGCCGCCGGTCATGATGTGCACCCCCCCCTCTTGGACTCCCCCTCTTGGCCGCTCCCGAGTTTGATGGCCCTGGGGCCCGATAGCGGGCCCCAGAGGGCGAACCGAGGAAAAACGCGTGGACATATCCACATCATATCGTCGGAGATCTGGGGGGGGGGGGGGCGAGGGCACGACCTTCTGAGAAGCTACGGGGGGCTGCCCAATGCGGGGGAAATTTTCCGGTTCATGCCTGATCGTCGCGGGTCTTCAGAACGGACCCTGTAGGCCCACGTCGAGGAGACACGCCGGGATTGAAAATATTTGACGGTCGGAGATTTGTGGATGGGGGATTCAGGAGGAGGACTCAGAAGGAGGAGGAAGAAGAGGAGGAGGAGGAGGGGGACCAGTGTACGCCCAAGAGTCATCAACGATGTTGGAATAAACCCTCCCTCCAAGTTCCCTCTTCATAGGTCCCTACAAGGGTTCATTTTCACAGGGAATTGTTTCGTTGGAAGACAACCGTGTGCAGACCCTGAAGCATGCCAAAACATCATCCTCGGGATGTCATCGCCGCGAATCAACCTGACTGTTGCTTCTTGACGATCCCGAATCGTGCCAGAACGCCATTCTTGGGACGTCAACATCGCAAATCAACGGAACTGTTGCGCCCTCATAATCCTGAATCCCTCCAAAACGCAATTTCTGGTACGCTGATCATGGGAATCCGTGAAACTGCTGCAAATGTTTAAACAGAATATGTGCGGCGCTGAGGCGAGAGCCACATTCTGAAAATGTACCGCCCTCAATCCGTGAAACTCTTGAAAATTTCTGAAGCGAATGTGCGCGGGGCTCAGGCGAGAGCCACATTTTGAAAACGGGTCGCCCTCAGTCCGCGAATCTCTTGCAGTGTTTAAAGGAATGTGCGCGGCGCGATGGCGAGAGCCACATTTTGAAAACGGGCCGCTTTCAATCCATGAAACTCTTGCAAATGTTTAAAGACATGTGTGCGGCGCTGAGGCGAGAGCCACAACTTGAAAATGGGTCGCTCTCAATGTGTAAAATGATTGCGAACGTTTGAGAGGAATGTGCGCGGCGCTAGAGCGCGAGCCACATTTTGAAAGCGGGTCGCCCTCAATCTGCGAACCTCTTGCAATTGTTCACAAAGAGTGTGTGCGGCGCTAAGGCGAACCGCCCAGCCCGCCCTAAAAACTTGCTTCGGGGTGCGACAGGGAGAAATTGTTCATAAGAATGTAGGGGGAGGAGGGGGGGGAAGAGGAGGGAGAGGAGGAGGAAGAGGAGGAGGAAGAGGAGGAGGAGGAAGAGGAGGAGGAGGAGGAGTCGGGAGGAAGAGGAGGAGGAGGAAGAGCAGGAGGAGGGCCAGCACGCACCGACACGGCGTGGCAGGCCCCGCCGGAAAGTGGCCAGCGCCAGCGCCGCCGGGAGCGACGTGTTGGAGGAGGTCACGGAGGTGTTGGACTAAAGAGGCCCTTCCGCGGCCTGAGGGTGGCCAAGCGTGCCGCTGCTGCTTCCTCCTCCTCCTCCTCCTCCTCCTCCTCGTCCTCCTCCTCCCCTCTGTCAGCGTGACCCTTCGCTGGAGTGCCCTTTGTTGCGGGTCTGCAGGGGGTCCCCCTCCAACATTGGCCTGCGCGCGTGCAGTTGGCCACCACTCGGCCCCCCGAAAGCCGCGCACCCAAGGTCACGCTCGACTTGGGTCACTCTTGCGTGTAGCCGCGCACCAAAGGTCACCCGAACAACACCACGCCCTTCACTGAGCGGCGTGGAGCGGCGTTGCGCGGTGAAGGTTTCCAGGTCCCTCCATAGAGAATCGGATGAATTCGACACGCGAGATACCGATACTGCTGCCGCTCCCTCGTCGCCACGTCCAGGTTCCTCTTGAGGTCATAGTCAGAGCGCACTCCGGGAGAGGGCCGTGGAGTTGCGGTATCGGTATATGTTTGTTCCCCCCACTCTCGCTGTCTGCCTCCCCCTCTGTCTGACTGCCCCTCCCTCCCCTCTTCCTCCCCCTTGTCTCCCCTCCCCTCCCTCTCTCCGCCCTCCGCCTGCCCCCCTCTGCCTCCCCCCTCTCCTCCCCTCCCCTCCCCTCTGGCCCCTTCGTCCTCTCTCTGGCCTCCCCTCATCCCCTTCCTCCTCGGGTTCGGGAGGCAGGCATCGGGGTCCTGGGTCGGACGTTGCCATCCTCCCACGCGGGGCGGGGTCGCCCTTGGGGGTGGGGGATCAAACGAGGGTGCCTGTAGGGGCGGGGAGGGGTGGGGAGGGGGAGGAGGGAGGGGGGAGGGGGAAAGGGAGGAGGGAGCTATGCTTCGGACAATGTTGTTCCGGACTGCCCCAGGCCCAGGGGTTTGTCCGCGGGGCAGGGCGAATCCCAGTCGCGGGGAAACGTCGGCCCCCCGGGCCATCGGGCCTCGCGCCACGAGGAGCCGATACCTTTGGCGGGGGAGCGCGGCGGCCCTGTCCGCCGGGGGGGGCAGGGAGGGCGCGTCCCGACCGGCCAACTGCCTCCCGGGGTCCCCAGAGCGCGCCCCGTCCCTCCCGAGGGTGGCGGGAGTCGGAGGTGGATAGACCTCCTACCCTGACGCGTCGATGAAGGAATCGGCCGTCTTCGGTGCGCGAGAGGGCGTCGCGGCCGTCATTTTTGCGGGTTCGGGTCCGTCGGTTTCGGTCTCAGGCCGTTTTCACCAAGGGGAGGTTTGCTGAAGGGAGGTTTGTCTACCGCTGAGGGAGGGCGGGAAGGGCGGCGGGAGAGGGCGAAGGGGAAGGGGAGGGCGGTGGAGGGGGGGGAGGGGAAAGCTAGGTGCGCAGGCGTCTTATCTGACGTCCTACCCCTCCCTCCCATCCCTTGCCATGGCGTAGATCTCCTCTCGATTCGCGCAGTCGGATATCGTAGCATGGCATAGTATTACATGGCATAACATGGCGTTGAAGATCAACGCGTAGCATGACATAGCATGGCGTGGCACTGCGTAGTCAAGCACTGCATATCATAGCATTGCAGCTGAAGGCATGGCATCGTACAGCGGAACACAGCATAGCATTGCATTGCATGCCATGGCATGGGACTGGAAATGAGGCCAGCGCTTCAGCGGGAGCACGATTCGGAACGAGCAGAAGCGCGGAAATGAGGCCAGCGCTGCAGCGGGAGCATGATTCGGAACGAGCGGAAGCGCAGACATGAGGTTAGCGCTGTAGCGGGAGCACTATTCGGAACGAGCGGAGGCCCAAAAATCAGGCCAGCGGTGTAGCGGAAGCAACTTTTCGAAGGACCAGAAAGAAATTGTTGTGTACAAACACATGTGAAAGACCAGCTCGCCGGAATCTTGTGTAAAAAAGGCGGGTCCGCTGTTCAAGACGTCGGAGCCGAAACCCTTGCAAACGCCGAAACCGCGAAAACGCTACCTTTGCCAGTCCCCGTGGTTTCATTTAGGGTTGTCCAAGCGTTCTTGGGCAGGGGTGGTGTGGTTTTCCTTGAGATTCAAAAAGCCATTCCGAAAACCACGGTTTTCACTAGCGAACGCATGATTTTCTCAAGCGAAAAGTATGGCCTTTCGCATGCGAAAGGTATTGCTCTCGTATGCGAAAGGTATAGCTTTCGTACGCGAAAGGTATGCTTTTCGTACGCGAAAGGTATGCTTTTCCCTAGGGGCTCCTGATCCCTAGGGTTCCCTAGGGATTCCTACGATTCCCTGGGAAGCCCTGGCCCCCTAGGGATTCTAGGATTCCCTGAGGGGGTGTCGATCCTGTCCATGGTCTCGTCTGGGGATTTCGGGACTGCTCAATTAGGGTCGAGTCAACCCTTGGGATCATCTCGACCTCATTCGCTACCTCCGACCATGCCTTGCGTGCCGTGCTGGAATCACATTGCTCGAACGCCTGGTCCGCATCGGCAACAGCAATGGACACGTGGCGCATGCATTGACCACATCGCACACAATGAGGTTCAACAGAAGGAGGGAGTTAGGCACGGAGGGCTCGCACTTCGGATGTTGCATCGCTCAAGTTGAACACCTCCGAGCTGAGGCCTGACCGTTGCAGAAGGTCCCGCACCGCGCGACTTCTGATCTGGAAGCCTCGGGATCCAGGAGCCTCCGAATAGTTTACCACACGTCTCATGCAATTGTGGTTAGGTTTCTGACATATCTCCTGGCTTGTGTGAGAACAACATTTTCCTATGACCGTAGGGGAGACGTACGGCGGCCCCGCCTCCGCCGTGATCGGCGTTAGGTATTGTGCCGCGCGGGTCCACGGCGGGAGTGTGGCAATGGCGCGGCCCCACATCCGCACCGCAGCATCACGAGGCGAGATGCCCAACCTGAGCTTCCAATCTGGGCCTGTCAACGCGAGTTGATGTAGAAAACGAATCATGCCATTGCCATCGCACGCCCACACCTTGTCACACTCCTTGTCATCTGATCTGATCACGCACTCGCTGTTGTCATCCAGGGCGTCATACGTGATGCTCTCGAGCTGTTCCCACTCTGGTGGCGGGGCTAGAGGCTCGATCCACTTCTGGGTAACCCAAAGGTGCAGGCGTCGGAGCCCACGTCGGAGGACAGGCTGAGGAAGGCGGGCCCGTTGGGCCCACTCACGCACCGCCGCCTTAGCCTCGCCAAGGGCCCGTGGACGTCGAAGTCGTGGCCACTGAGGAAGACGCCATGGGCCTGCAAGACGGGTGTGGCGCCATGGAGGAGATGGGGAAACTTCAGGTGGTTGCGGTAGTGCCGTTGTTTCATACGTCGCACAGAACCTGGTGGTTGATGCATGGTATTTCCAACACCGCTGCTTCTGGCACGATGTCTTGGGTCGGTGCGGGCCTCATGGAGCGCCCCGTGTATCTCAGGGATGGCGAAGAAAACTGACGATGCCGACAGTCCTGGAATTCAGCCGGTAAGCGGTGGAGCGGAGGTCGGGCTCGTGGCATTTGGTCAGGAGGGAAAGAAACACACAGACACAATTAATCGTCGACTCCCCAGGAACATGTGGGAAAATATGGGAAGTGGGGGGGGAGACAGAAACCCAGAACATATGGACAGATATGGGGAACCATTTTTTTTGTGTATTTGTTGTGTGTCCTTGGGCCCCTTGAATGGTGTGGCGCTGTTCTCTGGCGATGGCAAGACCTGAGGAAAGTATCCGCCACCGATACTGCACGGTATCGGTGAGCTGCAACTCCATGCTTCTTCTGGTGTCAGAGCAAGTGAAGATCATGCCACTTCGCTGCCAGAAACGCGAGCGGCAATCCCACGCGCTCGGGCTGGAACAACCGTAGCGGTCCGATCTCCCCCGTCTTGAGGTAGTGCTCGGCCTGCTGGAGGCGATAGAGGGTCCCGTAGGGGACCGCCTCTGAGAGCGCGCCAGGGTATGGTGTCAAAAGGTGGACACGGTGGTCACCTGGGGGACCTCGTGGTTCGCGTCAGCGAAAGTCGACGTCTAGTCAGGCGCTGTAGTTCGAGATCTCGGCCCCCTTCACCATGGCGGAGACCTCCTGCGTATGGGTCGTCGTGATCGCTGCATGGCATGGAAAGATCCTGCCCCGCGCCTCCGGCTTGCTTCCAGCTCAAGTGAATCCGCTACATTGTAAGATGGCGTGTGTCTTCGAAGGATCATCGTTTCGAAGTGAGAAACTTGTCGTCTCCGTCCTGAGAAGGGCCGCTGGAAGAACATGCAAAGGTCCAACACTCTTTCGAAGCAACCGATATCCCGGGCACCGTCCTGGGTCTTGGCCCGGGTGCAGGACGGCGCGGCTATGTTCAGCGATGCGTCCTAACAGGCTTGGTAGTCGTCCTTCTCTTAGTACTGCCTTGCCGATGCGAGCCCGAGTGGCTGCCTAGCGCGGGGGCAACTGCTTGGACAGGGCCCGGTGGTGGGCCGAGAAAGCATGACATTAGGGACATCATAAGTTAAGGGGATCCTCCCACGCCTGAAGATCTACTCGAAAATCTGGAGTTACAGCATTCACGAGCTTTTTTGCCCATCTGTGTACCCTCTTCTGCTGGAAGGCTCTGCGCATGCGCGACATGCCTGGCACACAGAGAGCCACCCTGCAACTGAACTCCATAAGTATACGCCGCGTAACGGTCTGTGCGCTGGAGGGCTTCTGCGACAAACTCCATTCGGATGGCCAGCATACTGGTACGTCTTGCCACTGCACGCTGATGGTTCCGTTGCTCCCGCATCCACGCGCGAAGGCTCCTCTCCTGGGCGTGTGTCCTGGTATCTTCCTCTCGTGCATTTTGCAGCGACCAGCTGCCGCGCCTTCTGGACCTGCTTCTTTTTGCCGCCCCCCTCACCTGCCCTTGTTTCCTGGGGTTATCCTGTACTCGGTCCCACTGTCCATGGTTTCTGCAGCGATCAGCTGCTCCTTGGGTTCGCCATCGCCTCCCATCCTATCCTCCGTGCGTTTGCAGCGATCGGCTGCCGCCCCTCATCGCCCCTCGTTCCTTGCGTTTGCGACGATCAGTCGCC